AAAAGGTATTTCACTAATAATCAGCCTCCTTCTAAATTAAAAAAAGGTTTTTCCCAACTACATTGTCCATCGTGCATACAAGTAATGGTATAGACATAACAAACAGATAATTAAAAAAATACAAAAGACAAAACTACCCTTCACATATGATTGAACTAGCATCAAGGATAAATGGAAATAAATCATTTAATAAGAAACATGTCAAAATATCTTTATTTATTTATTTTTTGTTTATCTTTTTGTTATATGTGAATGAAATAAATTATATTATTATATATAATAATTACTGCAGGCTGTTGAAGCACTCTGTAAATATTGGAAAAATTCAGTCAATATAGTTGAAGAAGCTTAGTCCTTTATTGTGTGACTACCAACATCTGATTACTCACCATCACTTGTAAGAAAATAATAAATCTTTATTGAGTTGTTCATTGTAGTATCCTACTTTGATAGCTGGATTATAACTTATTATAAGTGAACCACCTAATAAGATTGTATTTTCAAGTACAATGCTATGATCAAGCATTTTTCAAAGTACAATAAGGTTAGCTTCTTTCTTTGCTTAATAGTAAGTTCATTAATTGTTTTATATTAGTCAACATCATTTAATTAATAAGGTGAATTAGTTGTTTTATTTAGTGACACTGAATAGCATAATAGCTCACTAATGCTCCAAGTGCTTACATGTAATCCATACCACCTGGTGGATAGCCGACCATGACACCAAGTTCAACATTTTTACCTCTACTTGGTACACCTGGTGGCAAACAATGACACCATGGATTTTTTTGACATGATATGTGAAACATGCAATGTATTACATTTATTTAGCATCTGAGAGATTATTTTTAATTGAAATACTTATATAATGTGAAATGCATTGTCTTTTCTTGTGTATCATATGTTATTTTGTATGATGGAACCTTAATTGTCATTTAATTTAAAAAAATAGTAAATCTTTATATATATATATATATATATATATATATATATATATATTGAAACATTTAAAGTTATTATATGCAAAAATGCATGTCGTCTTCCTTTATGACATGTGATTCAATGATAGGCAATGTGAGTCGTAACTACGCATCATAACGTTACGACATGTATATACATGTTATCTTCCTTTATGACAGGGCCTTCCTTGACATGCAATGCATATCATAAATGTGTGTCGTAAATGCGCATCGTAAGAAGATGACACGCAAATGAGTGTTGTCTTCTTTTATGATAGGGCCTTCCTTGACACGCATTTACATGTCATTTATGGCTTTTATAACACGCAATGCATGTCATTAAATGGTAATTTTCTAGTAGTGATCTCTATATATTCTTATACCAAGTATATATGCAACCTCTCCTAGATCTTTCAAAGTAAAACAACTCTCAAGCAACGTGGGATATCATTTCCTATAAGGAGTATGTCATCCACATACAACACTAGGAAGACCATAATACTCCCAGTAGCTTTGATATATACACTCTGTATTCATATATGGTTAATGAAACCCTAGGTTGTGTCATATAGACATTCTATACGAGTTTTCCATTAAGGTTTGTCTTCACATCCATTTTCCATACCTCATAATCATGGAACATTGCTATGGAAACTAATATCCTAATAGATTTGAACTTGGCAACTGGCAGGAAGGTTTCCTCATAATCAATCCCTTGAGTCTGAGTATAACCCTTCGCAACTAGCCTAGCCTTGAATGTGTGCCAACTCCGATCCATGTCGGTTTTCTTCTTGAAGATCCATTTACAGCCAATGGTTTTCATGCCAGTTGTACGATAAACCAAATTCCAAACTTGGTTGTTATACATGGAGTGAATCTCGCTCTTTATGCTTTCCTTCCAATTGGTAGCCTTAGGGCCTTCCATCGCTTCCTTATAGTTGGATGGCTCATCCATATTAACTAGTGTACAATCACTAATCAATATGTATCCTTCTATGGTAACATGGAAACCATAGAACTTAGGAGGAGAAAGAACTCTGTTGGATCTACGAAGGGGAGGTGGAGATATATCATTTTGTTCAACATGTTGCTCTAACTCAGGTTGAGGTTCCTCAATATGTGACAATCGTCAATCTAGAGTCAAGTCAAGTCATCAAGTCAAACCGGTCAACTCGATTAAACCTTGTGTATTAGGGTTTGTGTTATGTAATTACTGCATAACTTGCTATATTAGTGGGAAAACATCACTTGGGAAAAGTTCTTGTGTTAAAATTTCCTGAGCCTTAGTGCTAATCAACGAACTAAACTGATAAAACCATGTTGCATACTCATCGGGAGTGTGTAGGATCCTTAATCATGACTTAATGGGGCTCAAGAACCTTGCGTTGCGGAGCCAAACACTCACAATTATCACACATGGAACCTCTCTCAATCGTTTTCACTCTATCTCTCTCTATGTCAAATCTCTCCCAAATCTCTCCAAGTATGTGAAATCTCTCTCAAATATCTCTTTGTATGAGGAATCTCTCCAAGAATGTCAAATCTCTCCCAAATCTCTCAAGTATGTGAAATCTCTCTCAAATATCTCTTTGTATGAGGAATCTCTCCAAGAATGTCAAATCTCTCCCAAATCTCTCCAAGTATGTGAAATCTCTCCCAAATCTCTCTCAAATCTCTCTCAAAAGTTCCTTGGACTTTTTATAGTCTTTTGGGCCATCCCGACCCTTAACCGGGTCAAAAACGGCTTAAAACGGGGTAAAAACGAGAAAAATGGACCTTAGGAACCGAAACCCTTCTCAAGGAGCCGAAACTCCTTAAGGCCGAGCCCTTGGACCGAAAGTAACCAGGACCGAAACCGAGTCTCGGTCTCTGCTCTCTCCTCTCGGTCTCTGTTCTCCGCCTCTCGGTCTCCTCCCGCCTCTCGGTTCCTTACCCTCTCTCGGTCCTTCCCTTCCCTCTCTCGGTTCTTCTCCTCACCTCTCGATTCTTCTTCTCTTCTCTCGGTTCCAACACCAGAGGACCGAACCTCCGTCCAGACTTCGGATTTTTGATGCTTTTCACCCATTTTTGATATTTTTAATATTTTAAGCCCGTTTCTCGTGATTTTAATGCGGGATTTTCTCCAGAAATTATATTTTAACATAATAAACCCTAAATATTCATAATTTAATCAAATTTTCATAAAAATCCCTATTTAAATAATAAAAATATAGTGAGTGAATAATTGAGGTGGAGTGTTGACTTTACTTTACCTTATAACACAAGCAGCCACCCCCACACCGACTCTATGACCAGCCACACCTCCCCACCTTACCTAGGTCACTTCAATGTCCCTTACACTCAATTACCACCCATTCCCACGTTTTCAGAGCTGGAACAAAACATCCTCTCTCCTCACTTCTCTCATTTGCCCTCATTTCACCAAGGATCCAACTCCACTTTTCTCTCAAACTTTCTCTACCAAATTCGAGATTCAAGGCTGATTATCAAGTGTTCTTCCACTCTTGGTAAGTATAATTCATCCTCCTTGTGATTATTGCACATCATTCTACTCAAATCATTGATTGCTTACATAAACTCCATAACTATGATGTTAGATTCTCGAAAATCTTCAAGGCATCTCCAAGTGTTCTTGAGTTAAACACTTCCATTCTTCAACAATCATCTACTGAAATCACATAAGGTGAGTTCATACCCCTACATTTTCATGTTTTCTCAAGTTTTTAGGGGGGGAATACAAGTTAAAACACCAAGAACATAACTAAACTTTTCTAACAGCCTTCATCAGAAAAGTTCAACTATATTCACGGATTGTTTTGGGCAACTTAAAAATTTTTGTTTTCAAAACTGTATAAGGTGAAAATATTTCAAGTTCTTATCTTTAAAATGACTACTTGCACATCTCCATACGATTTTTATACAATTTATGGTGATTTTTACAAAACTGTCTATCATTTCAAACACCAATCCGGACCAGTCTGTGATTATGGAATTTTTCACCCAAGTTGGAGGTCATTAAAAATCATGATAAAAATTATGAGTAAACTAGACACATTTTGGGAACTCTCGGGAATTTACGGATCTAGTTTTTGACTTCGTATGATTTTTCTATGATTTTTCCAAAACAGTGCAGAAAGGTTAAAGTTAGTTAACAGCATATAAATATCATAACACTTTGTATTATGTTGAGCAAAGTGTATAATCATAAGTTTTAATTATTGAATGTGTTTCCTTGTTAGTTTATCATCATAAACTGAAACTAAGTCATTCATGATAAGATTATTCATTCATTTAGAACACGTATATTAAACTATAAAAAGTATAGCTTAAGGGGATTCATAACACTAATGCATTTCCATAAAAGAGTTCTTACATATTACAAACGTTTTAGATAAACTATAATAGGTATAGTTTATGATACATTGCATAACACACTCGTACAAAAAGGGTACATTCATACAGAAAAGGTTTACACTCACACACATTACACGTAAACTTGTTAACCTAAATTGTGAGACAATCTCTTTCCGTACATCCGAGTGCGGAATATAATTCCTGGTAGTTATAATCAGAGTCTCCTAGAGGGAGAACGTGATACTTGTATATAGATATATATTGGGTTTGACACCCCACACCTTGCTGCTAGCTACAGTGGGACCTGCAGGTCTACGGGTGACAAATGTCATTTCAGTTTCGCGACGCCTGAGAAACGTCGTGGCAGGTTCATTCAGTCATAGTATGATTATAGCGACTCATATAGGGAGATAACAATACATAAAGTTTACGGGATTATTATAAAACCTAAATAGGTTTTATGTCGGTTTAAATTCACTTTTTATATCAATTTAAACTCATAGCATTTCCACTAAGTAAGAAAGGTTACTTATACATTTTGGCCTTGGTTATAAGGCTACATTACACAGATTTTAAGGAAAATATCGGATTTTTCTGAAACAAACGCGACATTTACAGGAGAAAGACTTCTATTAGGTTTTATAGCAAAAGCATATGAACTCACCAACCTTTGTGTT